CTGGTCTTCCAGTCATGCTGTGATTTATTGCTTAATTGACAATGACCAAAACTTTGAAAACTACGAGGCTCTCAGGCCAGTGTGACAAATGGTTACAATTATTTGTAACAGATATGGAAAAACCACGAAGGCTTCTCTTGAGGGTATCTTGGCGATGTAAATGCTGTTGAGCACTTGTATCTGACACAGCTGCCTCGTAATCTATTCTCCACAAATGGGCTTATTTTATATACACATTTGTTAATAAATGTTGTCCAAAATCTTAGCTGTTTAGAAAAGTATTTGATCTCGTGCCAGCATCTGCCTCCCCGTGGAGGCTCTCCCTGCCTGGCAGCGTCTGAAGAGACAAGTGCAACACGGAAGTGCTCGAAGGGAAGGGAACTATCAAAAGAAAGCCCCAAGCCATTACGACTATATCGCACTTGGAAGGGGTCAGGATAAGGATTTGGGATGGGACGGAGGGAAAGGAATGGTGCCCAATCACTTGGACGGTCGGGGATTGAACGCCGACCTGCATGAAGCAAGACCGTCGCTCTACCGTCTATCGCGGAAGTACAACTCATCCTCCTGTTTAGATAGGACTTTTTTTAACTACTATCTCATATATAATAAATCTTATATAATATCACACGTATATAATAAACAATTAGTAAGTGCAATATTGAACTATGCATTTTAAATAGTCCAGAAAAAAGGCTAAAATCCAAGCTTAAATATTAACAGGCCTAGTATAGCACTTATGTACTATGGTAGGCCTCATATAGCGTTTATTAGGCCTTGGATGACTAGATTATATTTAGTTTTATTAGCAACATAAATACAAAACCTTTTCCGGTAGTTCCAAATTGAGTGGTACCAAATTCTACTTTCTAATTGTCCATTACGTCAACATATGTACGATGGTCCACACTGTTACTATAAGTACTATCTAAACAGAATGATGGGCAGGATTAGAATGTCTGTTTCGCTATTGAAAGTAAGAGGCCAGATGCTTGGGGCGAACCTCACCCAACTTTACAACGTGACTCATAAGAGGTATGTGAGTGTCATAGGCCAGTTGGGATTGGCCGAAGTGCCACGTTTTAATAAAACATGCATTCGATTCCGACTCCCGCCGTTTACCCTCACTTAATTTTTATTGTTTACTCAAAGACTATATACCCATATATGCAACACCGGTCATAAAAACATTGATCCAAGTATGCGGAGAACTACTTTGAAAAATACAAGATTGATTGAGTAATCTATAATTTTTCAAAGTAGTTTCTCCACTTATTCATATATAAATAACAAATTGTTGAAAGATCAGCGCACATCAGACAGATGGGTTCCTATTGCTCACCACATTATAATCAGCCACCTCCATACTGGCAGTGAGGAAATAACCTAAGAACAGAATTTTTATCAACAGGGAATAAAATTCAGAGAATAAACAGCACAGATTAGGGAAGGAAATTCATGGCTTTCATATATAATTGAATTTCTGGAAATGATAACAAAAATCATTTTCCAAGATTATTAAATTGCATTTGATACCATTCCCCAAGATAGACTGTTATATAATATAAAGAAACAAGCTGGAGCAAGAAAGTAACGACGAAAATCTTATTTATATACTCCATAAAGAAACTTGAAAATTTCCATATAGCTCCCGCCTGACTAGTCCCAGAGCAGAGAGACCTGAGCTAACAAGAAAGACTGTGAGACACACACAGTCGATTAAGGCAGTGTCTGGGATGCTCCCGGACGCAGGTTCGAATCCTCGTCACGGCCCTTGTGGATTTGTTCAAGACTGTGAGAGTCAAATAAACCTGATGGTGTAGAGAGAGTGGGCAAGAGGTATACCCAACTACGCCAGTTAACTGAAATTAAACAGGCAGGTCCAGGAGCTGAGGTTCGAACCCCGCAAGTACACACTGATACACGCTCTCACGGATAATGTAAATCCTTGAACAGAGACTGAAACCCGGCCAGGTAGGATGTTTATTAGGTAAAATGTATCTGAAGTGGGAAAATGAAGAAGACGTCATTTTCACCCTCATGAGGAAGACTTAATACCGGCTCAGGTATTCCGGCTCCACCACCGGCTCAGGTATTCCAGCCCCACCACCGGCTCAGGTATTCCAGCCCCACCACCGGCTCAGGTATTCCGGCCACACCACCGGCTAAGGTATTCCGGCCTCACGAACGCTGTCCGCATAACATTCGGACTCACTCTGCGCCGCTCTCAGGCCGGGAAGAAAGTTAAGGTAATGTTGTTTACAACTGAAGGAACCTCCAGGCAATCTGGCCAGGGAGGCACCGGCGTCCGGACTCTCAAAAACACCCTTTTGAGACTCGTGAGCACAGACTGAGCACAGACTGAGCACAGACTGAGCACAGACTGAGCACAGACTGAGTCTGAGCTCACACCTCGACCATGTGCTCACAACATCTGAGCCGGGTGTGTATGTACCTACATGACAGGTGTGTGTCTGTGTGTTCGGATTACCTGAGACATATATGAATGTATTATACGTGACACATTTCAAAGTGTTTGAGATTTATGTATTTATGTACGTAAAAGAATGTCCGTGATACCTGAAGCATCTTATATGACCGGTTACGTGTTGACTTCCTCTAACACCTGTGTTTGTTGACTTCCTCTAACACCTGTGTTTGTTGACTTCCTCTAACACCTGTGTTTCTTGACCTTCCTGTAACAGCTGTGTTCCTTGACCATCCTGTGACAGCTGTGTTTCTTGACCTTTCTGTAACAGCTGTGTTTCTTGACCTTCCTGTAACAGCTGTGTTCCTTGACCATCCTGTGACAGCTGTGTTCCTTGACCATCCTGTGACAGCTGTGTTTCTTGACCTTTCTGTAACAGCTGTGTTTCTTGACCTTCCTGTAACAGCTGTGTTCCTTGACCATCCTGTGACAGCTGTGTTTCTTGACCTTCCTCTAACACCTGTGTTTCTTGACCTTTCTGTAACAGCTGTGTTTGTTGACCTTCCTGTAACAGCTGTGTTTGTTGACCTTCCTGTGACAGCTGTGTTTCTTGACCTTTCTGTAACAGCTGTGTTTGTTGATCTTCCTGTGACAGCTGTGTTTCTTGACCATCCTGTGACATCTTATTTTTCCTCATCAGATAATAAAGAATCAACCTCAGGCTTCCTCGCTCTCTGTTGACTTTACGTTATTGTCTTCCACCTGAGATGAATACAATAAGTGTGCTTTCTATTCTACCGCAAGACAGGTGTACATTTTTCATACTATACTGCAGATGTATTTTGTATTCTACAGTAAGGCAGGTGAACATTTTGTTATACAATACAGCAGATGTTCTTTGTATTCTACAGTAACACAGGTGAGCATTGTTTCACACTTTAAAAATGTGTTTTATTTTCAAATAAAGAATACAACAGTTCAGATTCGTATCAGTCTTTTATCCAATAAACCATTTGCCTTTCGAATCTTTGAATTATGTATTATGTATCTAATTATAAGCATATGTGTTCTGTATAAAACAATAAATTTGTACAAAAACATAAAATATTTATTCTGTATCTAACAATTAAGCAGGTGTGTATTTGTTGTTAACGATCGTTAGTAGTTGTCCTAGTAATGACAAAAGTAATATTAAGAATAACCAATTATTCTCTCCCATGCGCCGCCTGGATAAGGACCCAATTTACCCTACGTCAGTCACTGGACGGGGCCCTCCTCTCCGTCAACCAGTCACTGCACGAGGGCCCCTCAGTTCCCTTACATCGTCAGCGTGTCTAATGAGGGCCCGTCCCACTCCGTCTCACTCTGTCCCTCTTAAACATATCAGAAGCCTTCAGGTGTCCGACCGTGGAGTGTAGGGGAAACAGAGGGAGCTTCTCAGTCTTGTCATGTGTCTGTCCCTAGAACCGACACACCCAGGTAAGGGGCCTGACAGCTGAGTGAACAGCGCTTCGAGTTCGTAGTCCTCATGTTCCAGGTTCGATCCCCGGTGGAGGCGGAAACAAATGAACGACGTTTCTTTCACGTAAATGCGCCTGTTACCTAGCAGTAAATAGGTACCTGGGAGTTAGCTGCTACAGGCTGCTTCCTGGGGATGTGTAACAAAATGGAGGCCTGGTTGAGGACCGGGCCGCGGGGACGCTAAGCCCCGAAATCATCTCAAGATAACCTCAAGAGAGAAGGTGACTATCCATGAAGCCAACACACTCACGTGACTGGGCCAGTGCTGGCGTCTATCATTTAAGAATATAAAGACAATCTTCAAGGGGCCCATTGGCTTACACGAGGCAGCTCCTAATTATACCATTTATTCTGTATAAATGATATTTTATGTATTTGTGTGATCTTAGGAGAATCCAGTGAGCCCATGTCAGTTAAGTTATCAGGTAGTTTGTTCAATAAATCTTCAACCCTAAAAGTCAAAATAAATATATATCCAGGTCTTTCCTGAATCTAAACTTATCCAAATTGTATCTATTGTTTCGAATGATATATTTTGCATTTGTATATTTAACACCTAATTGCCTGTGAATATTGGCAGGTAATACTCGGAGGAGTGAGTGATATGTAGTGCTTCGGCCATGTCCAGTTCACATTGCTGTGTGTGTCTGGTATTTGGGTGGTGTTGGCTAGGTCAGGTCAACCTTTGGTGGGGGTCTGGGTGCGTGCAGGAAGTGTGTCGTCTTTTGGTAGAGTCTTGTTGCTTCTGCAGTGTCAAGGACCTTGTCAGAATTGTTGCCACTGTGCCAGTATTATGAGACTATTGGGTCTGACACTCCCCCAAGGTACTCTGCCAGAGTTGATGACACCAGAGTGTGTCGAGGGGTAAGGGGTGACGGTGTCTGACTGGCACTCCCCCAGTGGAGAGTGGAGACGGTGTCACTCATGAGTGACACCTCACAGGAGAGTCTGTCGGGAGGTGGAACTGTCAATCCAGTCATCCACCAGTCCACCATATCCCACCCGGATCATCCATCAGTCCGCAATCATCCACCTGGGTCATCCACCCGCCATGACAGAGCCCTCCCGCACACCATCATCCACCAACCCACCTAACTATAACTTGCCAGCCTCCCCCTCCACCCAACCTGCCACGTCTCCTCCGTCAGCCTTGCCACCGTCAGCCCCGCCGCCGTCAGCCCCGCCGCCGTCAGCCCCGTTGCCATCAGCGCCGCCGCTGTCAACGCTGCCACCGTCAGCGCCGCCGCCGTCAGCGCCGCCATCGTCAAGGCTCTCAACAACCTTTAAGTGGAAGCAAACGGCTGACAATCCTCCTTCAGCCGGTCATTATTTCTTAGCATTATTTCCTGTGTCAGGAAATGTTAACGTTGGGATTACCCGCTGTGAGAGCCCCTGTGAGAGCCCCTGTGAGAGCACCTGTGAGAGCCCCTGCGAGAGCACCTGTGAGAGCCCCTGTGAGAGCCCCTGTGAGAGCCCCTGTGAGAGCACCTGTGAGAGCCCCTGTGAGAGCACCTGTGAGAGCCCCTGTGAGAGCCCCTGTGAGAGCCCCTGTGAGAGCCCCTGTGAGAGCCCCTGTGAGAGCCCCTGTGAGAGCACCTGTGAGCCCTGTGAGAGCCCCTGTGAGAGCTCCTGTGAGAGTCCCTGTGAGAGCCCCTGGGAGAGCACCTGTGAGAGCCCCTGGGAGAGCACCTGTGAGAGCCCCTGTGAGAGCCCTTGTGAGAGCATGAGAGCACCTGTGAGAGCCCCTGTGAGAGCAGTGAGAGCCCCTGTGAGAGCCCCTGTGAGAGCACCTGTGAGAGGAAGGGAGGAAGGAAGGAAGTTAAAGGGAAGTTAAGGAGAGAGAGAGGATAGCCGGCGATTAACGAAGAAGATAAGGTTTAACGAGATTAGTGATATGAGCAAAATACCCAATGTTATGAAGGAATATTGACGATGCTGAACCTGTCGTGCGTGACCGTAGGCCAGACACGCACTCATAATTGGCCGCACTGCAGATGTTTATACCATAAGAGAATGAGGTCCTGGCTGACAGATTCGTTCCAGTTATTATTGATTTCATTCTCATAAACTGTATTAAAACTGCTAGTTTCATTTACTCTCTCTAGAATATTCTGCCAATGGAGGTCATTAATATGTGTGGATGGGTTAAATAGACACTATATTGTTTAATTTTTGATTTATACTGCATAGAAATCTACTAGCTGGCCTGTGTCTTTGAGCCAGCAAATCTACTAGCTGGCCTGTGTCTTTGAGCCAGTAAATCTACTAGCTGGCGTGTATCTTTGTGCCAGGAAATCTACTAGCTGGCGTGTATCTTTGAGCCAGGAAATCTACTAGCTGGCCTGTATTTTTGAGCCAGCAAATCTACTAGCTGGCGTGTATCTTTGAGCCAGTAAATCTACTAGCTGGCGTGTATCTTTGAGCCAGAAAATCTACAAGCTGGCCTGTATCTTTGAGCCAGTAAATCTACTAGCTGGCCTGTATTTTTGAGCCAGCAAATCTACTAGCTGGCGTGTATCTTTGAGCCAGTAAATCTACTAGCTGGCGTGTATCTTTGAGCCAGAAAATCTACAAGCTGGCCTGTATCTTTGAGCCAGTAAATCTACTAGCTGGCGTGTATCTTTGTGCCAGAAAATCTACTAGCTGGCCTGTATCTTTGAGCCAGCAAATCTACTAGCTGGCCTGTATCTTTGAGCCAGCAAATCTACTAGCTGGCCTGTATCTTTGAGCCAGCAAATCTACTAGCTGGCCTGTATCTTTGTGCCAGGAAATCTACTAGCTGGCCTGTGTCTTTGAGCCAGAAAATCTACTAGCTGGCCTGTATCTTTGTGCCAGGAAATCTACTAGCTGGCCTGTATCTTTGTGCCAGGAAATCTACTAGCTGGCCTGTATCTTTGAGCCAGCAAATCTACTAGCTGGCCTGTATCTTTGAGCCAGCAAATCTACTAGCTGGCCTGTATCTTTGTGCCAGGAAATCTACTAGCTGGCCTGTGTCTTTGAGCCAGCAAATCTACTAGCTGGCCTGTGTCTTTGAGTCAGCTGGCCTGTAAAAATCTACTAGCTGGCCGGTGTCTTTGAGCCAGCAAATCTACTAGCTGGCCTGTGTCTTTGAGTCAGGAAATCTACTAGCTGGTCTGTATCTTTGAGCCAGGAAATCTACTAGCTGGCCTGTGTCTTTGAGGCAGTAAATCTACTAGCTGGTCTGAATCTTTGAGACAGGAAATCTACTAGCTGGCCTGTATCTTTGAGACAGGAAATCTACTAGCTGGCCTGTATCTTTGAGCCAGGAAATCTACTAACTGGCTTGTATCTTTGAGCCAGTAAATCTACTAGCTGGCCTGTATCTTTGTGCCAGGAAATCTACTAGCTGGCCTGTGTCTTTGAGCCAGAAAATCTACTAGCTGGCCTATATCTTTGAGTCAGTAAATCTACTAGCTGGCCTATATCTTTGAGCCAGTAAATCTACTAGCTGGCCTATATCTTTGAGCCAGTAAATCTACTAGCTTTGAGCCAGCAAATCTACTAGCTGGCCTGTATCTCTGACCCAGGAAATCAATTTATCATAAAATGTCAGGAGACAGATAAACTACCACTGCCCATATTAGTTAACTCTCAAATGTTATTAATAAACAGCTCCCTGTTATTGATGTAGCGGCCTACCATTAACTTTACATAACTAGAGATAATTATTAGGTTATAAAGCCAATCAGGTGTCCGGCTCCTCCTCTCGTGGGGCAAGAATTCTTCATTTACATTCTGACACTCTTAGAGTTTTGTCCTTGACACTAGACACACAGTAGCCAGTCTTGTCGTGGACACTGGACACACAGTAGCCAGTCTTGTCCTGGACACTGGACACACAGTAGCCAGTCTTGTCGTGGACACTGGACACACAGTAGCCAGTCTTGTCCTGGACACTGGACACACAGTAGCCAGTCTTGTCCTGGACACTGGACCCACAGTAGCCAGTCTTGTCCTGGACACTGGACACACAGTAGCCAGTCTTGTCCTGGACACTGGACACACAGTAGCCAGTCTTGTCCTGGACACTGGACACACAGTAGCCAGTCTTGTCCTGGGGACTGGAAACACAGTAGCCAGTCTTGTCCTGGGGACTGGAAACACAGTAGCCAGTCTTGTCCTGGGGACTGGAAACACAGTAGCCAGTCTTGTCCTGGGGACTGGAAACACAGTAGCCAGTCTTGTCCTGGGGACTGGACACACAGTAGCCAGTCTTGTCCTGGGGACTGGAAACACAGTAGCCAGTCTTGTCCCGGACACTGGACACACAGTAGCCAGTCTTGTCCTGGGGACTGGACACACAGTAGCCAGTCTTGTCCTGGACACTGGACACACAATAGAAATTGTCCTGGGGACTGGACACACAGTAGCCAGTCTTGTCCTGGACACTGGACACACAGTATCCAGTCTTATCCTGGACACTGGACACACAGTAGCCAGTCTTGTCCTGGACACTGGACACAGTAGCCAGAAGAAAACATCCCAACTCGCTCGGGATCACAGAATCCAGTGCCATTCTATCACAGAATACGTAGGTGTTTAACGATGGTGGAGGGTGTTTAACGATGGTGGAGGGTGTTTAACGATGGTGGAGGGTGTTTAACGATGGTGGAGGGTGTTTAACGATGGTGGAGGGTGTTTAACGATGGTGGAGGGTGTTTAACGATGGTGGAGGGTGTTTAACGATGGTGGAGGGTGTTTAACGATGGTGGAGAGGTGTTTAACGATGGTGGAGGGTGTTTAACGATGGTGGAGGGGTGTTTAACGATGGTGGAGGGGTGTTTAACGATGGTGGAGGGGTGTTTAACGATGGTGGAGGGGTGTTTAACGATGGTGGTGTTTAACGATGGTGGAGGGTGTTTAACGATGGTGGAGGGTGTTTAACGATGGTGGAGGGTGTTTAACGATGGTGGAGAGGTGTTTAACGATGCTGGAGGGTATTTAACGATGCTGGAGGGTGTTTAACGATGGTGGAGATGTGTTTAACGATGGTGGAGGGTGTTTATCAACCGTGGTGCAGAGTAACGAAGCAGGTGGTGATGAACGAGTGTAGTGATAAGTAACGATGGAGGTGTTCATTAACAAGGGGAGGTGTAAGTAATGATTGAGTTTGTGATTAACGAAGGTGTTGGCCGTTAATGTAGTGATTAACTAGTTGGTGGTAAGTAACGAGAATTGTGGACGATGATAATAACACCGATAAAGAAATTGGCGGTTTGATAACGGAACTGGCAAAGGAAGATACGAGGAGAACAAGTGTGCGGACTTGAGGTTATCTTGAGGTTATCTTGAGATGATTTTGGGGCTTTAGTGTCCCCGCGGCCCGGTCCTCGACCAGGCCTCCACCCCCAGGCAGTAGCCCGTGACAGCTGACTAACACCCAGGTACCTATTTTACTGCTAGGTAACAGGGACATAGGGTGAAAGAAACTCTGCTCATTGTTTCTCGCCGGCGCCCGGGATCGAACCCGGGACCACAGGATCACAAGTACAGTGTGCTGTCCGCTCGGCCGACCGACTCCCGAAGGACGAAGGAAGGGTATGAGAGGGAAGGAAGGAGAGTGAGAGGGGGAAGAGAAGAGAGAAGGAGGGAGGGAGAGAGGGAAGGAGAGAGAGAGAGGGAGAGAGGATAATATCTCAGACAGGTGAGAGAAGGTTACCACTATATAAAGCGGATAGCCGCTAATGATATTAATTAAAGTAGGCGGAGGGGGGGGGGGCCATTATTGTGGTCAATATGTTCCAGTTCAAATATGTGGTCAATATGTTCCAGTTCAAATATGTGGTCAATATGTTCCAGTTCAAATATGTGGTCAATATGTTCCAGTTCAAATATGTGGTCAATATGTTCCAGTTCAAATATGTGGTCAATATGTTCCAGTTCAAATATGTGGTCAATATGTTCCAGTTCAAATATGTGGTCAATATGTTCCAGTTCAAATATGTGGTCAATATGTTCCAGTTCAAATATGTGGTCAATATGTTCCAGTTCAAATATGTGGTCAATATGTTCCAGTTCAAATATGTGGTCAATATGTTCCAGTTCAAATATGTGGTCAATATGTTCCAGTTCAAATATGTGGTCAATATGTTCCAGTTCAAATATGTGGTCAATATGTTCCAGTTCAAATATGTGGTCAATATGAGTGAAAGGCATCAGTTCCAAATATGCCAAAGGTATACAATCATTGAAAACTCGTTCGATTTCAGTCAAACTTTTTTGACGAGTTGTATATGAAAAAAGTTTCACCTGGACCAAGCCTCAGCATCGTAGCGTAGATAGGAAGGGAGAAAAAAATATTGAATTATTTGTCAAATTTTTTTTTTCCAAAATAGTCAAAAATTAACATCAAACACAAGTGTCATGTGAAATTATGTTTATGACTCTCAGCTATCTCAATAGCATATATTAAAAAATAATAATAATTAGTTTCGTAAAAAAATAACTTAAATTTTTTTTCAGTTTTTTTGTTTTTTTATTTCAATGTAATTTTTTTTTTATTTGTTCATCGGAAAATTTGCATGAAACATATACACCTGACTGGACGTAAGCCTATCTGTAAGGGTGCCAATTTTGGAGGAAATTGGTTGATGTCAATCTCAGCCACAGATGGCAGCACCTTAGACTTTAATTTGTAATGATTAATATTTCAAGTAACATAAACTTAGTCCCTACTCTTTCATTTTTATTCAATATACCTGAAACTTATACCTTATATGTAAAGTTTATGTCTCTAGAACTTGATGCCAGCGTTTGTTCCAAAGTTCATTTATTGATTTTATAATAGCAATAAACACGATATATTTGCTTAAT